CCCATCCCTCCCACCCCCCACCACTCCAGCAACCCTCAGTTTGTTTCCTGAGATTAAGAGTCTCTTATGGTTTAAAAATATGGAAGCTTCACGAATTTGCGTGTCATCCTTGCACAGGGGCCATGCTAATCTTCTTTGTATTGTTCCAATTTTAGTATATGTGCTGCCGAAACGAGCACTGTTCCGTGTACTTTAAAAAATGAATGTCTGGAGTAATTTATGCCTTTTCTTTAAAATCCCTTAACTTGTTTTCTTTAGGTTATTAGCATATCTTGCCCAAAATGTATGTAGACTTCACGAGATAAAAGGTTCTCCATCCTGAAAACATGTAGCATTAGACGGCATTCTAGTGGTAATAAGTAATTCCAGCCTTAGAGATAACCCACAAGGAGATGGGACTCCACTGTAGACTTTAAAGCCCCTCCAGAAACCCAAGGATGATCCAAAAGAAAAAAAAAATCCTTCCAAATGTAATATTCCTCTTATTCTTTAAAAGAATTAGATAAGTTAGTATTTTATTATATTATTTATTATTTTAAAAAATTTTAAACAATTCTCCTAGAAAATACTTCACAATGAGTCTAGGTAAAACTTCCTTACTAAGACATATATATGTGTGTGTGTGTACACCCCACTCCCTGAATCATCATTTGAAAGTTGAATAAACCCTGACAACCAAAAGATTTTGCTAAGTTTGCCACAGACTCATTTGGTGGCAAAACCCGATCTGACCTGATGTGTAGTGGTTTATAGTCTTTATTATTCCATTTGGTGAGTCTGCTTTATATGTTTCACTGCAGACATAGTAATGTGTTTGATTATAGTGTGGACTCCAGCGATTGAGGGCTTGTGTATTTTCTGAAAAGCCACTTTGCTAAAGTAAAACCAGACTCTCGTCATTGACGGCCTAACTTTTGGGGATGGTTGTTGCTGTTATTGTTTTTTTCTCCAGCTTTGCAAACTTGGGTATACTTCATGTGACAAAGAAAAAAGTATTTGAAACACTGGAAGCACGAATGATAGAGGCATGTACAAAGGGCTACAATCCCGGACTTTTGGTGCATCCTGATCTTGCCTATTTGCAAGCGGAAGGCGGAGGAGACCGGCAGCTCACAGGTGAGCGTCATGCTCCCAGCCTTGATCCTTTGAGATCAGGCTCTCCTTTGCTGTGTGTAGACTAGGTGCTCATCTGTCTGCCCCAGGTTTCTCCTTTTCCCAGACTGTACCCCAAGCTGCCAGCACACTTTCCCTGCTCAGAAACCTTTGATGGCATCTTGCTGTTTTCTAGATAAAATCTGTACCTCCGTGGCCTGGTATACAAAGCCGTCAATCTGGCCCCAGCCACCTTTCCAGCTTTATTTCCAGTCCCACCACATACGCCCCTCTCCCCATGACTGCCCCCTGAACAGATTCATACAGATATGCAGATTCATACCTTCGTATGTGTCTTCCTCGACCTAAAACACCGCACCCTGCCCTTTACAGCCTGTTATAACCAATGCATAAGCCAACACTTAGTTCCTCTGTTTTAGTTCCCTCTGTTTTACCTCCCCTGGCTCACCTTATTAGAAGGAATCTCTTCAGGCTCTTCAGACACATCATAAACTATTCTTTCTCGTAAAAATGCTATGATTTTTTGTTTCCCTGCTTTTACTTATATTTTTTTCTTTCAACCCCAGTCCCTGTCCTACCACATGTGCCATTGCCACTTACACACGTTGTCCATTAGTCTGGTCATCCTGTCATGATCTAATACTCAGGCGACCCAGCGTCCCTCAAGAGACAAGGAGGGAGTCAAATGCAGTCGAGTCATTCAGTTTCTCCAGAAGCACTCTGTGAATACCTCCCATGTGCCAGGCATTGTGCTAGGCGCTGTGAAGTGAACACGGTCCCTGAGCTCCGGGAGCCTTTGGAAGACTTAATTTTCACATTTCACAGTACAACGGATGCATAATCACCTTACTGCATTCCATGGCCTCACATCTTTTGTGCCTTTAACTGTAACTGTAGGGAGAAACAGGAGAGGTCAGGGGAAGAAGAGAAAGGAGAGAGGCAGTTTGATACCCGGAGGACAGTTTTCACTATCATCCAGAGAAAATGCAGGTCTTCTTCTGATGCCTTTAATTTGGATGACATAAATGAGACCGTTTTTAAAATTGTATTAGCAATACAAACAATTTCAAAAGAAAAACAATAGATTTCTGTTTTCAGTTCATGTTCTTTCTTTGGGCTTTATAAAAACATCTTACCTAAAGTGTTCTGGCTTCACTCTTTCCCTGGGCATGAATGCGCTGTGCTCTATGGTCCTAGATCGGGAAAAGGAGATCATCCACCAGGCAGCTGTTCAGCAGACAAAGGAGATGGACCTCAGCGTGGTGCGGCTCATGTTTACAGCTTTTCTTCCAGATAGCACCGGCAGCTTCACGAGGCGCCTGGAACCCGTGGTGTCAGACGCCATCTATGACAGCAGTGAGTCCTTGACTTCTACCACGAGGCAGCTTGGTGTAGTGTCAAGTACAGACTTCTAAGCCAGCCCTGGCAGTTACTGACTAGCTCAGAGTCCCAGGGCCAGTAACTTAATCACTTGGAGCCTCACATTTATCATCTACAAAATGGGAATACTAAAATCCAGCTTGAAACGTTGATGTCTAGATTACAAGTGAATGTTACGAGGTGCGCAACAAATATGGTTCTCCTTCCTCCGATGTGCATGCTAGACTTTTATGTGCCATTTGAGGGTGGCAGATCTCTTATTACTTATGAATCACTAATGCCATGAGGATATATTGTCGGTGCTCCTAGAAAAATATCTCAATATTTTCTTTTGAGGCTATAAAGAGGTGTGAATAAAAAAACAACTGTTATTCTTATCCGCCTTCATTCTTGCATGTTCTAGCTTTTATCAAGATAAGGACTTCAAGTTAACTGAATGAGTAGTCTAGACAGTATGTGACTTCAAAATTCTATTTCAGTCTGTAGTTCCTAGAACTTTTTAAAAGAGTTTTACAATGGTCTTGAGCCTTTACTCTGCATACTTCTTGTATGGTATGCATGCGATTTATTAAACAAATCAAAGGGTGCAAGTGTGGTACTTAGGCTCACTGAAACTTTATAGATTTGGTCTAAGTAGAAAACTCCATGCCCCAAGTATACAACTGACTGATTTCTCTAATTTAAACAAGTTGGAAGGGAAGTGAAAGCGTTATAAAATGATGTAGACTTGTATACTAAAGATCACCTTAAAATGCAGCTGTGGGAGGGGAAAAAAAAAAAAAGGAAGCTTTATGCTATTACCACAAGAAACTTTTGCCCCTAACCACACAGAATTCTAATTTAGTCTGGGGAAAAGAACTATAACCTCTCCATTTTTCTTTTCTGTAAAATAAGAATTTATAAGCAGTTTAAGAAAATTGTGCTTTTTCTAAATTTTTAAGACTCTTGTAAACAGTATATCAATATCATGGAAATAATTGAAGGTCTTGACCTACATGAAATTCCACAAATCCATTGGCTTGGTACTTCCTGAAACATCAGAAAAGCTCTTTCTCTTTCTGTATGAATCTTTCTTACTGTGTTAGTGGGAGAAACAAATACTGTTCCTTTCTGCCTCGTGTAATGGTAGTAATGAATGATCCATGCTCAAGAAGTGAGGACTTCTGAGGACTTCTGAAAGCTTTTTTATTTGTATCCTTGTTAAAGCAATATAAGTGAAAGCATCTATTTATTTTTTTAATTAAAGTATAATTAACATACAGTATTAATATTACTTACACACATACAACATATCGATTCGATAGTTTTATACCTTGCTTAGTGCTGACCACGATAACTATTTTAACTTTCTTTGGTTAAGGTGTGCTAGGGGCAGGGTTCCCCATAAGAGATTGGCTTATGAAGCTGAGGATAAAGCATGATGTTTGTTGTTTTTCTCCTGTGGACAGAAGCCCCCAATGCGTCCAACTTGAAAATTGTAAGAATGGACAGGACAGCTGGATGCGTAACTGGAGGGGAAGAGATTTATCTTCTCTGTGACAAGGTTCAGAAAGGTAAATACGTGCTCTGATCTCAAAATGTGAAATGTAATTCTGAGTGTGTCTCTGAGTCACTTTTTAGCAGTAAATCCAGTAATATGCCTCTTCTGCCATAGAACTCCTTTAGAATATTTACACATTCACCTCTTCCAAATTTGTCTGTGTTTTTTTTTTAAACCCAGCTAATTCATTTTAAAACTTTCAATAGAAGTTAAGAGAAATTTAAAAAAATAGTGATCATTGTAATCAGTGACATTTCAGTGTTTCTGTACTTTAAACTTTGGTATCTGAACTTAGTTAAACTAAAATAAATGAGTAACAGCCCATGCTTCATACACCCGAGCACACACACACACACGCACGCACACACACGTATGCCCATGCACACAGAGTAAAATGTTTTATATAGTGTAAAATTGTTAATTTAGTTTCTCTTATAAGGCTTCATTGCAATACTGAGAGAGCTTCTCCAAAACTTTCATGTGACACTGATGTCAATTATGAAAAAGAGAATAAGGACTATAGGGAAATTCTCAGAGCATATTTCTCATAATTTTCACTTTTAGGAAAGTTTCTTGACATTTACCTTTCATTAGTAATGGTACAAGATTTATAAATTAGCAAAAGCTGAAGGAGATTGTGCTATTTTCTTAAACAACTCACTTTTAAAATACAGTGATAGAGAGTATAGTATAATAAAGATCTACTCACTACAAAGTGATGAGCATTTTTCAAAGTAAAGAGTGCATAACTAAAGATAGCTCTTAAACGAAAGAATGATGGCTTTAAAAAAAGAAAACTCTCATTTGAGGCAAATGGCCTGAGATTTAAAAGTCAGAAAAAAATACAATCCAATTTTAAGGTAAAAGTATATCTATCTTTATCTGGGGCGCCTGGGTGGCTCAGTCGTTAAGCGTCTGCCTTCGGTTCAGGTCATGGTCCCAGGGTTCTGGGATCGAGCCCCACATCGGGCTCCCTGCTCGGCGGGAAGCCTGCTTCTCCCTCTCCCACTCCCCCTGCTTGTGTTCCCTCTCTCGCTATGTCTCTCTCTGTCAAATAAATAAATAAAATCTTTAAAAAAAAAAAAAGTATATCTATCTTTATCCAAAAAAAGTTTACACTTTCTCTGCATATCCTGGTATCAGCCTTCTTTTAGTCCATTCTACTCAGGTAATATGTGTGCATTCAATGAGTAAACACAATCTGAGTACCTTTATTTATAAATGCAGTTCTTAATCATTATCATTATATTGGAATGGCTTATTAAGAGAAGTCTTGTACCTGGCTTAAAGAGTCTGAAAAACTAAGTCCAGTTTAGTCCTACCCGAAAGCAAAGGAATTGACCAGGAGATAATGAGATGATTTATCCAACCCTAGTATTTCTAAAATTCTATTTAAATAGAAATATGAACTTAGTTTTCATAAGTCAGTAGTAGAGTCCTTCCTATAAAATGGGAAGTGAAGCCAGGGAGATGCCAGTCTGAGTTAAATCGTCATATTTCTGCAGAGGTAGAATCCATGACACAAGTGTGAAATCTAGGCATTCTTATTTCATCCAAAGGGACTTGACTACTATAATATTTTTAACAGCTTCTCAGAATGGACTAATAAGGTATTATAGGGAAGCAGCATAGTAAAATGTTTATGAGCCTGGAGTCTGTGTTCAAATTCTGGCTTCTCCATTTAATAGCTATTCAGCCTTGGATAAGTCACTTAACCTCTCTGGACTCCAGTTTCTCTTCTGCAAAATGAGGATATTAATAGTATACCTGCATCACAGTTATTGTGAGGATGAAATCAGTTCATGTATACCTATAAATCACTTAAAGTAGTGCCTGCCATGTAGTATACTTTATATAAGTTAAATATTATCATGTAGATCTATATGAGTTTGAACCACCTTTTGGGATTCTGATATTCCTCAATATCCTTCATGTTTCTCAGGAATGAATTGGGTTAGTGATGGAGAAATGGGAAGGTCAAAGACTGATTAAGAGAAAAATCAGATTGAATAGGTAAATCTAGTATTCTCTCAATGTAAATGAAACTCAGGGTCCATTACTGTGTTAACTAATAAAAAAAAAAATTCAGTAATTTGTGAAAATTTTAAATGATTCAAAAGTCTATTTCATATTAATTACTTTTTTTTTTTTTAAAGATTTTATTTATTTATTTGACAGAGAGAGACACAGTGAGAGCAGGATCACAAGCAGGGGGAGAGGGAGAGGGAGAAACAGGCTTCCCGCGGAGCAGGGAGCCCGATGCAGGGCTCGATCCCAGGACCCCGGGATCATGACCTGAGCCGAAGGCAGACGCTTAACGACTGAGCCACCCAGGCGCCCCATATTAATTACTTTTTAAAAAGTTTAAGTACATAGTAGGTAGAATCTCAAACAAGCTGCATTTTTTCAGCATGCTTATCAATATTATTACTCTGTGAAATTATACACCTGAATGTGACTGTTTGCAGATGACATCCAGATTCGATTTTATGAAGAAGAGGAAAATGGTGGGATCTGGGAAGGATTTGGAGATTTTTCCCCCACAGATGTTCATAGACAAGTAAGTGGATGATGATGGTGGTGATGATGATTTTACATTTTCTGTCCTGTTGAAATTCAGTACTTAATCTCCATGTATGAAAAAGGAAAAATCATAAATACTTATTTAACTTTCATAAAAGAGTACTATTTTCTTAAGACTCTTGCAGGTCTCTCAGAAAAGTTATCAACCATAGAATTATGAGCAAGGCCTTAGACCACTGGTTCTGAGACCTTGTCAAGACATTTCATTTGGGTGTCTGGTCACGTACCCATTAAGGCAACGGCCCTTGGGTCCTTTAGTGGAAATATTTTAAGTATTGGTATTAGTCTCTTCAGACTGCCATAACAAAATACCATCGGCTGGGTCTATTAAGCAACAGAAATTTATTTCATCACAATTCTGGAGGCTAGAGGTCCCAGATCCAGGCCTGACAGGGTTGGTTCCTGGTGAGAGCTCTCTCCTCCTGGCCTGCAGACACGTTTTGGCTGTGTCCTCACATGGCAGAGAGAGGAGAGGAAGCTCTCTGGTGTCTCTTCCCTTCCTATAAGAACACTAATTCTATCCAGTCACAACCCTACCCTCATGACCTCATTTAACCTTAATTACTTTCATGACTTCCATAAAAGCCCTTTCTCCAAATATAGCCACACTAGGGGTTAGGACTTCAACATGTGAATTTTGAGGGGATGCAGTCGTCCGCTACAGTGTTCTACCAGAGTAATTACGGCGAGACCTGTTAAAGAGATATTCTAATGAAAAGTGCTGAAAGGAAGAGTCTTCTACTTGAGGCTGTATCATCATGATAAATCAGGAGTTCCAGTGACAACTGAGGATATGACTAAGAGATGAAAATGCTGTTTCACATTTTAATCACTCTGAGTGATTGAGAAATACTGTTTTCACCCCCCAGAATTGGAAACAATCCAAATGTCCATCAATATATGTGTTCAGTTAAATGAATTATGGTGTATTTGTGTGAGGGAATACTATGCAGTTATTAAAGGGAATGAGTAATCAATGAACTAATATGGAAAAATCTCGAAAGTACAACATTAAAAACTTTTTAAAGATATAAAACAAGTGCATATAAAACAGATTGTTCGTGTTTGCATACGCATAGGGAGTCTCTGGAAGAACACAAAAAGAATGAATAACATCACCGTGTTTCCCTCTGGGGGCCGCCTCAGAGTAGGAACTGCCTGGATCGAGTGTCCGGAGAGGCGTACGCAGGGGTCTGTAGACACAGCCTATTCCACTGCGTACCTTTCTATATTTTACAAAGCCTTGATCCCTGGGAGTACATTGCATAGTCAAAAAATCAAACAAGAAGCTGTAAAAAGGCCAAACGGTTATGACACTTCCAGAAATTAATGAGGAGGCTAGCTTCGAGGTGTTACAGAATGTCCTTGATGTCAGAGCGTTGGCCATGCTCACTTGAAAATACATGTTTCCCTTGTAGCTCGGCTGACCTGCAGGCTGACTGTAGTACCACGTTCCTCACTCTCTCTTTCCACAACCAGGGTTTCTGATGTTGCTGTAAATAATTTCGGAGCATTTAAGGCTGATTTAGAAGAGAAAGAGACTCCTCTTTCTGTATTTTACTCACATGGTTATTTACAACTGGAAGACATTTGAAATATTAGACAAATGAAAATAAAGATGTGCAAAACATTAGCATAGTCTTATATTTCAATCGCACAGTGGCAATTTAATCACAACGTATGGGCATAGAATTCTGAGTTTGTAACTTTCTCTAGGATGCTGTATTTTTTAGTATACTCTGTCTAAACATTGGGCATAAAGAATATGTTTAATGAGTAGCATTGCTGGAAAAAAAATATAGGCCTACCCCAACATTTGGATCTTTGTATCCTGCAGTTCGCCATCGTCTTCAAAACTCCGAAGTATAAAGATGTCAACATCACAAAACCAGCTTCCGTGTTTGTCCAACTTCGAAGGAAATCTGATTTGGAAACTAGCGAACCCAAACCTTTTCTCTACTACCCTGAAATCAAAGGTAACTCGGTTGCTTACAATCTTGTGCTGTTTCCCATCAAAGAACAAAGCTGATTAGAAAAGATCAATTGGCCACTTCCTTTGAATGGTTTCCTAGGAATTAGCCCCCGGTCCCATGGTATTTATTTTTAGAGAAGAGAGAAGTAATATATTATTTTGGGGATCATGGAATTAAGTGCAGCCTTTCAAAATGGTGTTAACTTTTACCAAGCTTATATGAGATTTAGACATTTGAGAATTGGTCTTTGAATCTGAGAATCTGCCATTTGTTGAGGATCTTTGGGCTCTGCCAGTTAAGATGGCTGTTCAGGGAATCAGCCACTCCATCAACTGGCCTCAGGCAATAGAATGGGAGACTCAGCCACCATGCAGTGCGGAACCATAAAAATGAATAAAGTATCATTCTTTTCCCCACAAAAGACACCCCAAGAAGGGGAGAGAATAGTCTCCTTACATAATTATAATGCAAATTAGGATTTTGATAAACTCCCAAAGGGAAGCATCCAAAAACACTTATGAGAGTGCTGAGGACCCTTGATTCGAAAGAAGCTACCAAGAAGCAGGCTTCTTCAAGGTTCTTCAGCCTGGGGGTGTATTTCAGTAGTTGAGTGAGAAACAGGGAAGGTAAGGGCTTCCTAGGCTTAAGAAACTTGAGGAACTGAACAGTTAGTGTTTGTTCAGAAAGAAGTGAGCCTTGTGAGCACCAAGATGGACCACTGAAGACCAGGGCAGGTAAGGAAGGCCAGGGCCAGGCTCAGAAGTGCTGTGATGGGCAGCTGAAGAATTCTGATGGATTCTGGAGAGGGGAATGACCAGGCCTGTTTGGATGTAGAATGATGGCTCCGACTTCCTTATATGGACACTGAGGAGACTATCTGGGTAGCAGACAAGGAGTCCAAAGAGTAATGCAAGAATCCGAGTGAGAAAAGGTGAGGTTCATAAAGGTATTAGTGCAGAGAATGAAAGAAGAAGGTGGTGTCAAGAAGACCCAGATGCTGGTTGAGGTAGGAGGTAAAGGAAAAATTCAGGAGTCTAGATGTTTCTAGGAATCCCAGCCGAGGAAGGTTGTTAACATGGTTGAGTTGATAAAAGAATCAAGGGAGCAAAATTAGGTTTGAGTGAGCAAAGAGGGAGCTCAGTTTAAAACATGTTGCATTTTTAGGTTCCTCTGGCAAATTCCTAATAAGCTGATCAAAAGGCAGGACTGGAACTCCAGAGGGCAGGGTGGAAAATTCAGCATTGAGAATCCTCTCAGAATGAGTATGATAGGCCCCTAAATGAGATAATTGTCCAAGGATATTTCTTAACCTAGAGTCCACTGACCCCCAAAGGGTCCAAGGATAGAAAAGGACTTTAACATAATTAGCTTTTTTTATAATCCTATTTTGTATTTTACATATTGATAACTATGATTCTAAGAAGAGATCCATAGACGTCACAAGACTGAAAAAGGGGTCATGACACAAACAAAATCAGAAACCCCTGGGTTAGAGGGAAGTGAGACCATCGGGGGAGGTCAATGAAATGATCGTCACGGGTCATGTCCTGACTGACGTCAGAAGCCACAAAGGTGCCGTAGTGATGGTGCACATGGGTGTTGGATCCTCTGATAGCCACATGTGATGCGGGATCCTTGAAGAGGGCTTCTTTTCCTAAAATTCACAGTGTGGCAGGAACATTTAGAAGATGATTCTATGCATTCTTGTTTCTTTTCAGAGGTTGTGACCTGTCCACCGATGGGTCCAATTTATAGTGCATTCCGTTACCGTTGTGTGATAACATTGTCAACAGAAGAGGCTTTTTTCTCCCTCCACCTAAAATTTCATGCAAAATCCCAGTACTTATACCCGACAGGCTCTGGTTAAAGTGGAAGTGGGGAGCCAACCCACTCGGCCTTCCCTAGAAGCCCACCTCCCCTTATTTCTCCACCCAGTGACAGCCTGAGGTCTTCCAAATGCACCAGTCTGCATAAAGATGAAAATCACTGCTTTCGATTAAACACTTTTCTTTAATAGACACAGAAGAAAAATATGGCTAATTTGGGGGGTACTTTCTGAGGGAAAAAATAGATTTCTTCTCCTAAAATATGTCTTCACATAATGTCAGTTCTTTTCAACACAGAGAATTATGTTTAAAAAGGATACCCAGATTACCTACATATGTATAAGCCTAGAAACATTCAAAGCTGAGCTTGCTTTCTAGGCCACCTGTCTACCTTTTCCAGTGGTATCTGTTCATCAAAAGAGTAAGATACAGCGGGAGCATGTTCAGACATTCATTCATAATAGGATTTATCAGATGCTGGGGTTAGAGAATGGGGTCTCCTTAAAGTTCAAAATCCCCACCTGTATGCTTCAAGTACTTCCAGACTGTCATTGACTAAAAGTTCCATGTAATACAAACAAATAAAAAGAACCATCTGGAAAAATAAGAGAAGTTGAGCCCCACAGAAAGAATGGCCAACATACGTTGTGATTAAGTCGTGTGAGATTAGAACTATTTTATTGAAGGTAACAAATTATCTTAGTCAATAAAACCTTCTGGATTATAAAATCCCAAGATGAAATAATGGCAAGGAGCAATCATCACACCAGACATATGACTGGTTCGAAAAGTAGCAAGCCATTTAATGTAAGAGTAAGTGTATGAGAACGACTCTAAACTATACACCCCAGAGAATCATTGTATACATTTCTCAGAAGTCATTGAACACACCTTCCACTGCCCCAGGCCCTGCAGTCACTCCTTAGGTCATTGCCTAATTTTGTATTGTTCATTATTTTTATCAATACTTACAATTGTCGGGCGCCTGGGTGGCTCAGTTGGTTAAGCGACTGCCTTCGGCTCAGGTCATGATCCTGGAGTCCCGGGATCAAGTCCTGCATTGGGCTCCCTGCTCGGCAGGGAGTCTGCTTCTCCCTCTGGCCCTCCTCCCTCTCGTGCTCTCTGTCTCTCATTCTCTCTCTCTCAAATAAATAAAATCTTAAAAAAAAAAAATACGTAAAATTGTCTTATCTATTAATTTGTATGTCTATTGTCTTCTTCCATCTCCAATAAGAAGAATATCCTTTCGGTCATAGATTTGGTCTTTCATGTTCATTGCTACATTTCCAACATCTAGAACAGTATATGTCATATATTTTATTTTTTTAAGTAGGCTCCACACCCTCGTGGGGCTTGAATTCATAACCCTGAGATCAAGAGTTGCATGCTCTACTGACTGAGCCAGCCAGGCGCCCCTTAATATATGTCATCTGATAAATGCTGAGATATATCTGAAAGCTGACTCATTTTTTTAAGTTTTTATTTTAATTCCAGTTAGTTAACATACAGTGTTATGTTAGTTTCAGGTGTACAATATAGTGATTCAGCACTTCCATACATCACCCCATGCTCATTACAGCAAGTGCACTCCTTAATCCCCATCACCTATTTCACCCATCCCCCCCCACCTCCCCTCTGGGAACCATGTTTGTTCTCTGTAATTAAGAGTCTTTTTATTGATTTGTCTCTTTCTCTCTTATTTTTTCTCTTTGTTTTCTTTCTTAAATTCCACGAGTGAAATCGTATATTTGTCTTTCTCTGACTGACTTATTTCACTTAGCATTATACTCTCTAGCTCCATCCATGTCATTGCAGACAGCAAGATTTCATTCTTTTTTATGGCTGAATAATAATCCATATTATATATACATACACACATCCCACATCTTCTTTATCCATTCATCAATCGATGGACACTTGGGCTGCTTCCATATCCTGGCTCCTGTAAATATGAAAGCTGACTTATTGAGTGACCAACCAAGTTGCCTCCTCATCCAAAAGGCTAGTAATTTGTTGGGTGCCATCAAGGAGGACATCAGACAAAGAAATATAACATATTCCTTTCAATGTATAGAATCATCCATCCCAGAACTCTGCACCCAGTATGGTTATTGACATTGTACCTTATAAAAACTTCATGGAGATGGTTGGGTTCAAGGAAGACAATTAAAATAATAAGAAAGGGATGATTGAAAAGGGAAGAAGATAGTTGAGGAACTGCTGTATGAAAGCAAAAAGAGACCATGTGATTTTTCAGTCAGAAAAGATAGAGATTCAGAAGAAACAGAATCATAATCTTTAAATTATGAAAGGAATGCAGACATCTTTACTAGAACACTAGAACCTGAAAAATGAGAATGAGGTACTTTTAAGGCATACACACATCAAAAAAGGGTAGAGACTAAAAGTTTACGTTTGTGAACTAAACTATTGTCATAATCATCGATTATTAAAAGAAACAGAGGGGTGCCTTGGTGGCTCAGTGGGTTGAACGTCTGACTCTTCGTTTCGGCTCAGGTCGTGATCTTGAGGTCATGGGATCAAGCCCTGCATGGGGCACTGTGCTCAGCATGGAGTCTGCTTCAGATTCTCTCTCCCTCTCCCTCCTGCTCACTCTCCTCTGTCTCAAGCAAATGAATAAAATCTTTAAAAAAAAAAAAAAGGAAGCAGAGATATTTTGGAATGTTTCCCCAAAAATGGAAAGCTCCCTAGACTTGGGATCTGATCCTCACTCTGCCCCGCTCTCTGATAAGTCCCTTAATCATCCTGGCTTCTATTTCCTCTTCGTAGAAGGAGGGCTTGCAGTGAGTGACCAGTTAGGTCCCTTCTAGAATAGGTTGATGTTTCATAGTACAACGCATGATGCCACTGTCAAAGGCAGACCACAAAGATAAGTAAACACAATGGGAAAATCTCCATGTTCATTTCTGGGGAAATTTAGACTACAGGTTCTTTTATTTAAAAACCTGCCATAATGAAATTTTCCGTATCAGTTTCTTGTCATTGAAATCTTAAATGGGTATAGAATAGTTAATATTTTTTAATTGACTCAAAAATTCCCATCTTACAGTAAAATATAACCATTGAACATCTCTGTTTTCTAAGTCAGAAGAATTACATAGCAAAAACCAAATGATCTCTTTGCTAGAAAGCATGTCAATAGATAACATTCATGAAGATGAATAAGTGGTCTGCTTCCCTCTTGTGTTTCATATTTCTAGTGAACTAATATTTTATGTGAGATCAACTGTATATAGGATGAGTAATAAGTATGACTATTAGTTGGTTATAGTACAACTGAAGGAAAAATTTTGTAAATCTATCCAAAACCTTTATTAAGGACGTTTGTAAAGTTTTTCCACTTTGAGGCCAACCTTTCTAGTGGAAGCACATTCTCTTCAAGTTGACCCACGTTGGCTTTCTTCTTCCTAACAAGTCTGGACATGATCAGTTTCTAAACGATTATTTGTAAGGGTATTTGGCTATATCTTATTCCATGCTTCAGTCTTCCAGCCGCACTAAGGTCACTGTGAGTTAATCAGTAGGAGCATTCTTTCGAGCCCTGAGATGACTGGAACAACCACAGAATTAGAAATAAGTGGAGATCTTTCTGAACATAAACACTGACCAAAACTGACCTTGAAGAATCAGAAACAGGACAATAGTTAAGTATCAGGCTGCTGACTGAAAAAAAGAATACCCCACTGGCTGTTTAACTTAAACAAAAACCTTCCATCACCCTTTTAGCCCGAAAGAGAAAAGGGAGAAAAAAATTTATGGTAGGACGGCCAGAAAAGAGAAAGAAACGGAAACAGAAAGAAGAAACAAGAACACTGTAATGGACCACAAAGGCAGTGGGGCTGGTGAGAACAACAGGGAGTGAAAAGCAAAAGAAAAACAGCAACTACAAAAGGAATGAGGGTCTAGACCTAGACAGTCAGCAGTCACAGTGGGCATCACTGTATTCTAGTCAAGTTGTACTCTTAGGCTTTCAGCCTCCCAATTCTCATCAGTCACCACTGACTACTGATCCCTCTTTCCTGGTATTTCTGGGGTTCGCCCACTTGTATTATCATGGTGCCCACTAAGGAACAGCCCCCATCTCCTTATGTCTGGACTGTCTCTGCCTCTCACTTGTCTCTTCGTTTTGTCCCAAGCACCAATGACAGAGGAAGCTTCCTAAAAAAACACCCTATGCACATCATCCCCCAGTTCAGAAACACGTAGTGGCTCTCCTGCTGGGAAACCCCTTCGGTTCATGATCCAGAAGCTCTGCAGGGTGGTCCTGATCAGCCCCATTTCTCAAGACTTTCTCCTGCTCAACTTTGACCTCAGCTAAATGGAACCACTACAGCCTCAGAAGCGCACAGTGCACATTCCTTCCTTCATTACTTTCCCTCTGTATCCCATCTCCAGATCATCCTCCCGTTGCCCTCTCCTGATATAAAGTTGATTCTTGGAAGCCTTTCCTGAGTTTTCCGGCCCACAGGGACTTCCTAGAAGTCCTTCCTTGAACTCCTGGAACACTGGTGTGCACCATACATTTAACGAATATAGCACTGTGGTGCTCTCTCTCTCCAGGTCTCCCCCTCCCCCTCCGCAACCTTGAAAATATATTGGAGGCTTCCTGACAGCAAAGACTATTCATACTTCTCTTTCTCCCTAGCACTTAGCTCATAGTAGAGGCATTATAAATGGTAGTTGGTTAGTAATCGTTGTTTGTGAATGACCAAATGAAAATGCTCAATAATGGTTTTCTTATTCTGTGTCTTTGGTATCTTAACCTTTGACGGGAAATCTAGTCATTCACTAATTTGAATGACACGAGGGACTTAAGAAACTGTTGTAGAGGGGATTTGGGCGAGTACCACTCTGTGGTCTCTCTGAGGCCGGTTCTCAGGCTTCAGATCCATTGGAATAAATATAATGCTTCCTGAAATTTGGCATCTCTTCCTCCTTGGGTGACTTCTGTTTCCCTTTAAGATGTTTAAAAATACCGTCAGAATCAATATTCTTTCTGTGGCTAGTAGTGGAATTGAATCAGTCTTTTCTCCTCTGGTTTCTCTTCCTTTAAATACAGATAAAGAGGAAGTGCAGAGGAAACGGCAGAAGCTCATGCCTAATTTCTCAGATAGTTTCGGCGGCGGGAGTGGGGCCGGAGCCGGTGGTGGAGGCATGTTTGGCAGTGGCAGTGGAGGAGGGGCTGCTGGAAGTACGGGGCCAGGTATGAACCAAGTCTACTCTTTCTAAAGCTTCTTGGGGCCCCTGGGGGGCTCAGTCGGTTAAGCGTCTGCCTTCGGCTCAGGTCATGATCCCAGGGTCCTGGGATCGAGCCCCGCATCGGGCTCCCTGCTCAGCGGGAAGCCCGCTTCTCCCTCTCCCACTCCCCCTGCTTGTGTTCCCTCTCTCGCTGTGTCTCTCTCTGTCAAATAAATAAATAAAATAATAAAGCTTTTCACGTGGGAGAGCGTCGAATTTTCCTTTCCTAGGTTTCCCAGACTGTCTGTGGGTCCAGTGGCTGTGACATTATTGAGTGCAACATATTAATTAAAATTTCCCAACAGATAGAATTTTTCAAAGAAACGCATGTTCATTTTGCAATATGTAGATAACACCAAAAACAGTAAAGAAGAAAAAAAGTCACCCAAGGCCAGTTATCTGAAGACTGTGTCTTTTAACGTTTTGGTATATTTCCCCTTTCTTTCATCCTTCCTTCCCTCCCATCTCTCCCTTCCATACTGTCTTGGTTTTCTTTGGAAACACTGAAAGGATTTCGTATTATATATACTACATTGTAGAGAATCTGAAGATAATAAAATCCTGCCATTGAAGGTTAACTTCTTCACATTTTTTTCTGTGCAAACATTATGCTGTGTATTTTTTGCATTTGCAGTTTCAAATTTCAAAAGCCGCTGTCCTCATAATGCATAGTATTTTAATCTCTTTACCTGTATGATTTATTATCAACACATCGTGATTGTGTATATAGAGTGTATATAGAGTCATATATGCTGCTTTTCCCTAATGGGTTAAGGAACATAAGCATTTCCCCATGGCAATATAAATTTTATGTAAGCATAATATTTTAAGCATCAGTTTAATGACTCGTAGTACTACTTACTTGAATGTGTTTCCTGTTTTTTATTGTCCTTTGCTGAACTCCTTTGTCCACATTGCTTTTCTTTTATTCCAGATTGTTTTTGTAAATTAGATTCTTTGAAGTAAAATTACAGTGTCAGAGAGTATGGTGTCTAATACCAGCTGCTTCCCCCAAAGAGTTTTTTGGGTTTTTTTTTTAATTTTATTTGATTATGTTATGTTAATCACCATACATTACATCATTAGTTTTTGATGTAGTGTTCCATGATTCAT